CAGTGTTGGCTTCCTCGGTTCATGTGAGGGATCCAAGGTGAATGTTAGCGAAGTTAGTGCTAACCATGGCCCATTTCAACAATAGCCCTCTAAAAATATATTGAACTTACAAAGCATTGTTGGATCTAAAAGAACTTGAGTATAGCTTTAAGGTTAAAGCATTGACTTTAGATTCAGACAGGCCTAGACTGGAATTTTAACTCTATCATTTAATATCTATAATGGCTATAGATCTTGAAGCAAGTTACTTAACCTGCCTGAGTGTCAATGTTCTCACTTAGAAAACTGAGACTTACTTCATAAGGTTGCTGTGACAATTAAAAGAGAGAATAAAAAGGGCTTATCGTGGTTATTGGCACATAGGAAGTGCTGAGAGATAACTATAATTATTATTCAGTGTCATAACATTTCAACACACTTTTGACTTTCACTGCTTTACTGCACTCCAGGTTCTAAGGCTTTCTCTTTGTCTTAAAATTTAGGTGGACAAAAGGTGGGCTTGTAGGGTTTGTTTTAGCCTCTCCTATGAGCTATTGATTAAATGTTTCCTTGTGGTCTAAAATTAGCATTTAATTTGAATACTTACCCTACTGCTGTTTATTTTTCCTGTGTAGGTGGATGTGCAATACTACTGATTAGGGATATTGAACATGTGAGAGTTTTAACCCTACCAGACCGCTGTACCGATTTTTCAGTAATTTCTAATCATATCTTATCTAATCATATCTGTGTTGTGTGCATGGAAAAGCACTCCAGGTACAACAAGCAAAATCCTGGAGTGACTTACAAAGATAATCCATGCAAGAAGGTGAAGAGCAACATCTGGTGCTCACTTTGCAAGAAGTACCTCTGTGTGAAACAAGGCTCATCCTGCTGGGTGGATTGGCACACAAAGGTGGAATATTGGCGCTAGATGAAAGGTAGACCTATTTTCTACAATGTCTCCAAGTTCCATCTTATTCTAACCACTTGTTTGCATGTAACTAACATTTTTCTATATCATGTTGGTTTTTTCTCTTTAATGCTCAGGAGCCCAGGTATAGGGGACAGTTAGGTTCAAGGCCTCAGGTCTGGTAGGGTTAACAATATTAAAACAAAAACAAAAACAAAAAAAACCCAAAGCATATGGGATCATTAAATTATTGATGATGTTTTTGCTGCAGTAGATTTATAAATAATGCATGCTTAAAGGTTATTTCCTTTACATTTCTTTAGGGACAACCGATGAGTCTTCTTGTTTGAGTTTAAAGAGAACTGACAGTTGGAGAAAGGTCAACAAAATGTTCATTCATGCAGTTTCTATGCCAAAACCCTTCAAATTTCAAATAAGAGCCATTTTATATAACCATACCAAATAGTCTCCTTTATTTATTTATTTATTTATTTTTATTTTTTTAAGATTTCTATTGGGGAATTGGGGGATGGGAACAGAAAGTTGCTGTCGTTTTGTTCTTCAGTCTAGTTGTGGAGGACATTGCTTCACTGGCCCAAGTTGGCACCATCATTGTGCTCTTCCCGGGTGAGGCAGATCAGTCGCCGGCTTCTGGATGGACACTCACGCTGGCTGCTGGCTACACACGGTAGCCCATGGCAACCCACCTGCTGTCTCCGGTGACTCACGGCAGCCCAGCTCCAGGTTGAGCTGTTGTTCAGCATCTTAGCTGTAGAGGGCAGTGTCACTGGCCCTCATATGTGGGATCCGAACCGGGGCCCTCTGGCATCCCAAGCCAGCTCTTAACCAAAGCGCCACTCGGCCGGCCCTCTCCTTTATTTTTAAAGCAGAATGAGGCAATGGATTTAATTGAGCAATTGAGGGAGAAGAAGCTTGAAATAATATTAATAATAAAAGTTTCATATTAAACAGCATCACTTTTTTTTTCTTTGAAAACCTTTTATGGATAAAAACAAAAGAGGAACCCAACGTTTATTCTCTGAAGCCTATCAATTTCCTGACGCATTAGGTCTTTAGAATATGTTATTTTAAAAAGGGATGATGTGGAGTAACTGGGGACAGATAATGGGAAAACTCTGAAACCATATATGGTTACTTTCCACTCAGGGTTGCCCTCCATGGGTCTGAAAACACCTGGGAATTATAGGTCAAGTTTTGTTTGACATGCATATGGGTATGGGAGAGAGGCATAAGATCCATAGTTTTCATCAGATTTGTGGCCTTGAAAAAAGTTAAGATCCATTGCATCTTCCTTTCTCCTTTTGTGACTGGCTAAGAGGAATGAGGGAGTGAAAGGATGAGGGGTAAAAGAGGCTAGGGAGAAACCAAAGCTCTTCTGATGCTAATTAACCTCTCATCTCCCTTCAATTTTTCCACCTCCATAAACTATGAACAAACACTCTGAGTTTCAGCAGGTTCAACAATACGGTTAAGCAAAAACTTATTACTAGAATATGAACATGACACAGTATCCAGAAACATCAGGAAAAAACAAAATGTCTGAATTCTTTTGTTTCTTGAATTTTTGGGTTTTTTTGGAAGTGTGCTTATTTTTCTCTGTATATTTGTTTTAACATCTATCTCTGCAATTTTCACAAAGGGTTTGAAGCAGGATATAAATCCATAATTCAATTATGAAACTCAAGCATTTTTCTGATGATGAGGGGATAGTTGAAATATTTTCTTTGAATGGGAGAATGTATTTTCTTTGCAAGCATTTAAACTATGTCCTTCCTACTAGTTCAAGCCCTGAGAGTTACTTAATTGTGTTACCTGTCTGTAGTGGTTAGAAAGTGAGCGAAAATTACTTGAAAAATTGGGTAGGGAGAGATTAAATGATTTATGTTACTGAATTTAATCACATTTTTCTGATGAGGGCAGGGCTGAGGGAGCTTAAGTAACTTGCCCAGTGTCCTCCAAGTGAGTATCAGAGCCACAATCCAAACCCAGGTCTGTTTGACTCCAAAGTCCATATCCTTTCCTCTGCGTTATTTGCCTCTAGTGAGGCAGCTCTGCGACCTCCACAAATAAAACCCCCCTGTCCTCCTGCTCTGCAGCTTGGGCCCCCAGAAAAGATTCAGCATGTTCCTGGAAGAAAGACAGGGCTGATTTGGGGCGCATTCCAGAGAATTCCCTCCTCTAGAATGGTTCTTTAAGCTGACAGGTGATGGCCATAGAGAAAAAATATTGGATAAAACAAAAGACATGAAACAACAGTTTTCTTGAAATGTGGCAGGGTGTATCTGTTCAAAAGTATGAAGAGCAAATCAATTAAAGTCTGAGCAATAGAAATGGTTGAGAGTGGTGTTGGTGCCTTAAAAAGCAGCCAACTTCACCTAAAAACTAGTGGACACTGCCCCCTTTTGGAGTGTGAGGTGGCACTTCATCTATCATGGTAAAATGTCTAGACTTTCTCTTTATCACCTCAGGTTCTCTCCAAACTTCACAGGACACTTCAGCCAAAGACAAAAGTCCATCTGTTAAGGGGACACCAGGAGTAACATCATAAGATGACATATCTGAAGCACCCAGCAAAGTGCCTGGTCTAAGTTTAGTGCTAAGTAAACATTAGTTCCGCTTTCATTCCCTCAAGAGATCTGAGGCTAATAGAATTTTGAAGGAAGTCATTAATCTGAACACTGTACAGTTGCAAAATGTGCTATATTTGTGATGATGTTTTAAAATGTTTGGATGGAGGGTGACTGGTTAGCTCAGTTGGTAAGAGTGTGGTGCTGATAACATCAAGGTTGCCGCTTTGATCCCCACATGGGCCATTGTGAGCTGCGCCCTCCCTAAAACAGTCAACTATGCCATTGTAGCATGAAAGCAATGTGTAACCAATGACCATGACTGTTCCCCAATAAAAATAAATTAATAAAAAAGTTTGGAAAGGAAGGGCCTGAAGGATCATCTATCTTTGGGTCTAACTTCTCTTGTTTTTCCCCAGCTTTATTGAGGTATAATTGACAAATAAAAATTGTATATATTTAAGGTATACAATGTGATGATTCAATATATGTATACATTGTGATCACCACAATCAAGCTAATTAACATATCCATCACCTCACTCAGTTACCATTTGTGCATGCGTGTGTGTGTGTGTGTGTGTGTGTGTGTGTGTGGTGAGAACATTTAAGAGCTATTCTCTTAGTAAATTTCAAGTATACAATAACTATAATCACCATGCTGTACATTAGATTACTAGAATTTATCCATCTTATAACCTAAAGTTCATACTCTTTGACCAACATCTCCTCATTACTCCCACCCCCAGCTTCGAGCAACAACTCTTTGCTTCTATGAGTTCGACTTTTTTAGAGTCCACGTATAAGTGATACCATACAGTATTTGTCTTTCTCTGTCTGGCTTGTTTCACTTATGTTCTCCAGTTTCATCCATGTTATTGCAAAATGTTCTCCAGTTTCATCCATGTTATTGCAAACGGCAGGAATTCCTTCTTTCTCATGGCTGAATAATATTCAATTACATATAGCTATATTATGTATATATTAGATATATTAATTGACTTGTTCTTCATACTGGAATAGATACACACTGCCACCTTTCAAGAAAACTGTTGTTTCATATCTTTTGTTTTATCCAATATTCTTCCTCTATGGCCATCACCTGTCAGCTTAAAGAACCATTCTAGAGGAGGGAATATGTATAATAATTGATGACAAGGATGTTTAAACAAACATAGAACTGTCTAGGTAGCATCCTGTGTTCAGTGTCATTCCTCTCATTCTCACATCTAATCTCTAGTTCTGGATGATGATAACTGAACTCAGAAAGACAAGGCACTAGAAGCCTAGGAGTCAGACAACACCAAATTATTTCTGTTCTCTCTAAGCAACAGTTATTAAGACAGGAATGGGGACTCGTATTTTAGAAAGTTTTGTAATAACAAGTCTAGGCCTTGATTAACTAAGAGAACTCAATGAATCAGAATACACTATTTGGGAATTGCCATACGCTTTACCTACCCTTGGAGCTCAGTAAATGTGTGTTTACGTCCCTAGGGATTATGGTTGAGACTGTGCTACAGAAAGCTGTACTAAGCCAGGGCAGTGTTTTTGTCCTTCCTCAGCTCTGTCTGCCCAGCATTCCCTCACTGCTTTTCTTCACCGTTCTTGCATGAAAAGAGATCTAGGATGACAGGAAATGTGATGACTCATCTGACATCAGATTGGGCCCTTTTTATTTGCCCTTTTTGTTGGCCTCAGTCTGATATTGGGAGCAACCGTGTTATGATGTGAATGTTTTTATTTCACAGAAGACACGCATGGATTGCAGTGGGACTCTGATGATGTAAAGTCTGATGTGTGTGTCTGTCTGGTAGCTCTCTGTTTTCCTCCATCCTTTGATTATAGAAAAAGGAATCAAAGTGTTTTAATCATGCCGACCAGCAAGGGTCAGGGATGCCTTCCCTTTGATTTGTGTCTCTGCTTGTGTATATTCATACCTTTCCTTAAAGGTAGGTTTGATTTCTGCTTTATCTCATATTCCCTTTTTAGTTACATGTGTTTACTCTTTTTTTCTAATTGTGCTTGATTAAGCAGAGAGAAGAAATATTCTATGGGTAAATGTGTACAGTGTCTGCACAGAAATTATGATTGTTACAACTGTTAATCTATTTTTTATTGGTTAGGTTTAACATGTAAAATGGGGTTTGGGGGTTAGGGTGGGGAGGACAGCAAAACATTGTAAACCCTATTTTATTTTATTTTCCCAATTAAAATATGGTAATAATGATAACGATGCAGTTTTCTATCCATCTCTGCAAAGGAAGCATTCAACTTATTTGTTTGTATTTGTATTTAATATTTTTTCAAAACTGTAATTTATTTTCTAGCTGTTACCATTTCTCAGTCTATGAACTCTTCCATTTTGTAGGTAATCATCTTTCTTTTGGGAAATACGTCATTTGACTATGCTGAAATGTGTCCTAAGAGTAAGATCATTCATGTTAAAAGTTAAAACTTAGAAACAGACGACGCTGCCCTGCCTGAACAAAAGCACATTTGTATGTGCTGTAGTATTTGCACGGGACTTGCTCTTCAAAACTCAGGGAAGGTTTATCTAAAATGCCTCAAAGGGAAAAAAATGTCTCAAAGGGGGAAAATGGGTAATTGGGAGGATTTAAAAAAAAAAATTTTTTTTTAATTGTTAGTTTCAGGTGTACAGAACAATGCAATAGTTACCCTGGGAGGATTTTTTTAATGTCTGTTTTATGTAGCAATATTTCTATCACTATTAATTATGATGGCAAGGATGCTGTTTTACATTTAAAATTGTTCTTTCCTGTTGAAATCTCAGTGCTTCCAAATGCAATTGTAAAAAACTCCTTATGTATTTTGTAAATATAACACCTGTCTTTTTGTTTATTTTTGCCTAATAAGTTATTTAATTCCTTTAATTTTTTTTCTTTCAGAATATAAATCCCTCTGTGAAATTTATAGAATAATACTTCAGGTGTCAAGTTTGAATTCTAGGAAGGAAAGCATAGAGGGGGGTATTAATGAATTACGTATATATATCAAATGAAGGCAAGTAACCTACTCTTAATGCATTCTTGAAAAAATGCAAAGAGATATACATTAAACTGTTGTCCAACATTTAATGACTAACAATGTTATTTTTTAAGAAACAAGTTTGAATTCTTTAAAAAATATTTTAAGTAAATTTGCCTTAAAAACCTTGTCCTCTCAAAAATCTCCAATATAATTGAATTTCTTTTGTTTTTCTTTTTTCCCCAAAAATAGTTGAATTTCAAAGTTGATTTTAAAAAGAAGTATGGCTTGTTAAGATCTTAATGATATTACTAGTTATTTCAGAATTCTTGGTGAAGTCTCCCCAGCTTACTAGTTGTAGAAACAGGTCAGTTGAATCAGTATTTTGACAAGAAAGGGCAGAACTCTTCCTTAATTACTGGATCAGTAAGATTGTGAGTTACTTTGAGTGACATAACAAAAACTGGAGCTGATGTCTATTCCTTTACCTTTGTGGTTCCTTAAACTTAAAAGTGCTCTTAGCAACATTATTTTCTTTGACGTCACACTAGTCCTGAGATGCAAGCATTACCATTTTGATCTTAGGTGCCCTACTGCCCTCACTCAGTGATGGAAGCTGCCAGAACCTCCCACCTGCCCTTACCCTCTCTGCTTCTCTAATTCTTCCCTCTGTTTGGCCATGCAGATTGTGCAGGCTGTGCATCTGAGGAGAGACTCTTTCACAGACTGTTTTCTCATTATAACCAATTCATCAGGCCTGTGGAAAATGTTTCTGACCCTGTCACAGTGCATTTTGAAGTGGCCATCACACAGCTGGCCAATGTGGTAAGTGCCTCAAGTTTACCATGTGTAGTATATCTCAAGGAGCCCTGACTCTGAGGGGGTCAGAGCAGTTCCCAAACATTGTCCCACTTATTGTACATGGCAAATATGGGAAATTTAAAAAATGCAACCAAACCAAAATCTATATGGCTGCTGGCCCTTCGAAGCCGTCCCTGTGAGAGGGAGACAGTTTCCCCATTGATGCTGTAATTACTCACATTAAGACAGGTTTTTGTTTATTTGTTTGTTTTGAAGAGCTTTCAGAACCAGTTTATGAAACAAAGAGGGGAAGGGGAAGTTGTAGGGAGAATACAAAGGGAGCTAACTTTATTGTGCACCTATTATGCACCAGACACTGTGTCTACACTTGTGACTATCAGCTGCATTTTATAGCTGAGGAGCCAGAAGCTCAGTTAAGGGACTTTTCCCAACATCATACAATTACAAAATGGTGGAACTATGATTTGCGTCTTCTCTCTTTTTATTTTTGTCAATCAATCTTGCTAGAGGTTTACAGATTTTGTTGTTTTTCCCCCAAAGAATCAGCTTTTTTGTTTCATTGATTGTCTCTATTGTTTTCCTTTTCAATTTTATTGATTTCTACTCTTATTTTTATTTTTCCTTCCTTATGCTTGCTTTGGGTTTATTGTGAGCTTCTTTTTTAATTTATTGGAGTAGAAACTTGAGTTATTGATTTGAGACCTTGCCTAATTCCCAATGTAAGCATTTAATGCTATAAATTTTCTTCTTAGGACTGTTTTTAGCTATGTCCCTCATATTTTGATATGTTGTGTTTTCATTTTCGTTCATTTCTATGTATTTTTTTTGAATTTCCTTTGAGACATCCTCTTTGACCCATGGATTATTAAACCTAAATAACCCATGGAGTTGTTTAAGTTTCATGTGTTTAGAGATTTTCATGTTGTCTTTGTTATTGATTTCTAGTTTGATTCCATTATGGTCAGAAAACACAATGCATGATTTCAAATATTTTAAACTTATTGAGGTCTGTTTGATGGCACATAGTAAGGAAAAAAAATGTGTCTGCTGCTGCTTTGCATGTTCTATATACGTCAATTAGATCTTATTGGTTGATTATGTCTTCAGATCTTTTATATTTTTGCTGATTTTCTGTCCAGTAGTTCTACTTGTTGCTGAGGGGGGTATTGAAGCCTCCAACTATAATTGGCATTTGTCTGTTTATTCTTTCAGCTCTATCAGTTTTGTTTCACGTATTTTTTTTTAAAAGATTTTTATTGGGGAATGGGAACAGTGCTGGGGAATTGGGGGCAGGGGAACAGACAAGTTGCTGTCGTTTTGTTCTTCAGTCTAGTTGTGGAGGACGTTGCTTCATTGGCCCAAGTTGGCACCATCATTGGGCTCTTCCCGGGCGAGGCAGGTCAGTCGCCAGCTTCTGGACGACTGCTCACTGTGGATGCTGGCCCTCACACTGGCTGCTGGTCGGTAGCCCATGGCAACCACTGCAGCAGGGGACTGCAGCCTCCGCCGTCGCCGTTGACGGCGACTCACAGCAGCCCAGCTCCAGGTTGAGCTGTTGTTCAGCATCTTAGCTGTAGAGGGCAGTGTCACTGGCCCTCATACGGGGGATCCGAACTGGGGCCCTCTGGCGTCCCAAGCCAGCTCTTAATCAAAGCGCCACTCGGCCGTCCCCTGTTTCACGTATTTTGAGACTGCTGTTTGATGTGTATACAGTTAAGATCATTATGTCTTCCTGGTGGACTAATCCTTTTAGCATTATGTAATGTCCCTCTTTGTCTTTAGTAATTTTTCTTTTTTCAGAAGAAAGATTTCAGTCTACTTTGTCAAATGTTAATATAGCCATTCTTATTGATGTATTGAAGGCTATCTGTTGTAACTGAGCCATGCTGAGCTCTGGGGATGGCCTTAGAGCACCAGAAACTTTTTTGTGGAAGTGTGTTTGCTGCCAAACAGAATGACCTTTGTCACAAAGTTTTCTGTGTGGATGATCTCTCGGTATAGGAGTATGTCCACTGTTCCTCCCACAGGGATCTAGAACAAAGCCATTGTTTTTTATGGCCTGGCATATCTGAAATGACAAACTTAAAGTCCTTGTAAAATGCGACCTACCTGGCCTTTCTGATCTCAGTCTCTGCTGCTCCAGAAAGCTAATCTACTAAAACTTGTAACTCAAATCCTTTAATGCAGGTGGGGTGTCATCTAACTTATTTTCCCAAGAAAAAGATACAGGATGATGGTCCCAGGAATGTGGAATGGTATTGTGGGCCTCTGACCTCCTCTGGCTGGGCTGTCTGATGACAGTGCACATGAACATTGGTGTGGCCTGGAATTGGATGGAAAACAGAACTTGCCAAACCAGGTCCTGATTTATAAATTCGGCTGACACCTCTGAGGTGTCCATACCACATGGAGCTTTACCAGCCTGTGGAAATATAAGTGGGAAGACAGGCATATTGTCAGGACAATATTGCCACCTGACTTGAGTTCTCTGAACATAGTGTACTAATGTACAGAGAGGAAGTGGTCTTTGAGAGATGCCTATGACAGTTACTTTTGAGACCTTTCTGGATTGCCAAGCTAGTTGATTTTTGATTGACAGCCATAGACTTACTGACACGGCCTCTGCTAAAATCTGTAGGTCACAAGGTAACCCTCATATGAGGATCAGATACCTATCACCGTCTACAGTATTTTCCTTCCCTCCCTCCCACTCTCTCTCTTCTCTCCCTTCTTTCCTTTCATAGTATCAGAAAACTTTATAAGCTATGCGATCAGAAAGGCTCCACAAAAGTGATGAGACTTAAACCAGATTTGAAGTACAGTCTTTAAATCACATTTCCTTTCAAAGTAAACAGCATTGAGACCAGATGTGGAAATATTGTATTTCTGGTTGCTTTTTTATAAGCTGCCTCTTCAGTCTTTTTGTTTTCCTCTAATAGCATGAATAACTCAGGTTTGGTTTTTTTTAGTTGTAATTCTTGTTCTAGGATCAACCTCTATTAGCAAGTACATTTGAGGCTAAAAATATTGTTTCTTCTTCACAGGATGAAGTAAACCAGATCATGGAAACCAATCTGTGGCTACGTCACGTATGTGTCTATGTCACGTGTCCTTCTCTTGGACCTGTGCTACTTCTGTGTCAACCAGACAGTGTCTAATGAATAAAAGCTACTAGCATTTCCTCTTTCCATCTCCAGCTTATGATAGAACATAGAATATTACCTACCTCTAAAGCCTAAATTCAGCTCTATTAACAGCTGGTTTGATGCAAGTTTTGAAGGTGCAGAAACTGAGTGACAAAGTTCTCTGGGATATAGAGATTCTGTCCTTTCTGGTTTCTGCTCTCAAGTCTTCTATTTTTATCTGTACCTTGAACTCCAGAGTCGGTAGCTTGCCCGTTCTTTGATCCTGCTGCACTAGGCCTAGAGAAGTCAGTAGCTACGCACGATAGTTTGTGGGTTAGTTTCACCAGCTGGCTTTATGTTATACCATCTCATTCTTTCTTCTTGTCTTCTTTTACACAGATTTTGTAACAAACTGATCATCGTACACTTGAACTATCTTTTTTAATATTAGAACTGAGTTGCTACTCCAATATGAATATTGTCCATGGAGCATGGAATTTGAGCCTATAACCTTGGCCAGCTAATTAATAAACAATAGATAATTATCTAATATCCATTAGGTAATTTATATTTTCCAAAATCAGCTCACCTACCAAGCCCCTTATTCTCCATGGATTTAATCTCCCAACTTTTGATAGAAACCAATGCACTCTTCAAATAAGAACTTACTTAAAAAAGACAAAACTGATGAACAAACGTAGAATTAACATGGGAAGACATTTTTAAAAAATTGACTTCTATTTCCCTTAGATCTGGAATGATTATAAATTGTGCTGGGACCCAGTGGAATATGATGGCATTGAGACTCTTCGTGTTCCTGCGGATAAAATCTGGAAGCCTGACATTGTTCTATATAACAAGTATGGATGTCCGACAGAAGTAGTTCTCTTTCCAAAGTTGCCTTTGGTGCATGCTGACCATAGCAAAGGGGATGTTACTAATGATATCTGATTTACCTTGCAGTGCTGTTGGCGACTTTCAAGTCGAAGGCAAAACCAAAGCTCTTCTTAAATATGATGGCATGATAACCTGGACTCCACCGGCTATTTTTAAGAGTTCTTGTCCTATGGATATCACTTTTTTCCCTTTTGATCATCAAAATTGTTCCCTGAAATTTGGTTCCTGGACATATGACAAAGCTAAAATTGATCTTCTAATCATTGGATCTAAAGTAGATATGAATGATTTTTGGGAAAACAGTGAATGGGAAATTGTTGATGCTTCTGGCTACAAGCATGACATAAAATACAACTGTTGTGAAGAGATATACACAGATATAACCTATTCTTTTTATATTAGAAGACTGCCGATGTTTTACACCATTAACCTGATCATTCCCTGTCTCTTTATTTCATTTCTTACTGTGTTGGTCTTTTACCTTCCTTCTGACTGTGGCGAAAAAGTGACTCTTTGCATTTCAGTTCTGCTTTCTCTGACTGTGTTTTTGCTGGTAATCACGGAAACCATTCCATCCACGTCTCTAGTGATCCCACTGGTGGGTGAGTACCTACTGTTCACCATGATCTTTGTCACCCTGTCCATCGCAGTGACTGTGTTTGTGTTGAACATACACTATCGCACCCCAACAACACACACCATGCCCAAGTGGGTGAACACGGTTTTCCTCCAGCTGTTACCCCAGGTCCTGATGATGAGAAGACCTCTGGACAAGACAAGGAAGACAAGTTATGATAAAAACCCTAAAGGCATTTCCAGTTGTCCTGCCAAAGTCACATTTGATAATCGCAGAGAGCCCAAACTTCTTAAAGAATGTTACCACTCTCATAAATCACGTCATCTTGCTACCAGCAAGAGAAGATTAAGTCATCAGCCTTTACAGTGGATGATGGAAAATTCAGAGCATTCGCCTGAAGTTGAAGATGTGATTAATAGTGTTCAGTTCATAGCAGAAAACATGAAGAACCAAAATGAAACAAAGGAGGTAAATGCATGTCATCTCTAGCCTGTCTACCTGCAGCAGGCCTAGGGGCACTTTATAGACATGGTCATATCTTCAGTGTAAGTTCTGTTAATAAGATGGTCAGGCAACATTACTCTAAGATCCAGTTCTGTTATTATGCAGTTGTGGGTGGGCTGTCCTGGGGTCAGGTAGGATAATATGTATTCCCAAAGCAAATCTCTACCTCTAGAAATGTTAACTCAAGTGAAATCTGGTTAAAATAAACATTCAGGGCAATCTTGGTTAATGAAGAGCTCCTGCACAAGAAACAATGGTAGACAAAAGGGTGGAGAGGGAAAAAATGCCCCCAGAGGGGAAGGAGAAATGACGACATAGCAGCTTGCAGCCTGAGGGCAATGGAGAAAAGCGGGAGTGAGTCCTCCACAGCTCCAATTCCACTTACACTACTGGAGAGGAACTTAGGTGCTGATTGAGCCTCGGGATAAATTTAGCATCAACATATTCTGCTCCTGCTGCCCAGACTTTAACTATAGCAACATGACCTCCCCCATCCTCCAAAGAGAGAGTTCAAGAAAATCATGCCAGTTTTCCATACTATAAGGATGACTAGCTGAGGGCATCTGAAAATTCATGTCAGGTGTCTGGTTACTGACTGGTTGCATACTGAAACTGCTGGCATCCATATCTCCTAGTGAAAGGATATTGCGGGACCTAAAGTCTGCCTTGTTGGTGCAGAGGGGAGATATTGTGACTGCATGTCACACTGGCGGGGCATGGGGGATGCATCACAGGTCAAGAAAGCCCAGAACTCACCTTCATAGTGACACCATAAAATCTAGGGGAGAGTTGCGGTTGACTTAATCACCACCAGGTAGGGCTCTTATGACACAACCAGGGAGACTTGGGTTGAAGGTTGGCGGTTAGGACCTGGAAGGACATGAGAACTCCAAAGAACTCTCCATAAACAGAATGACCTTGAGGTCTAGAGGGCTGCCTGTTCCTGATAAGGAGGTCCTCCGTCATACTGCATATCTTACACTCCCTACCTCAAACCTATTTCCCAGACTTGCCAAGGGGTCAGGTATACAGTGGTGCCAATGATAAGAATTGCATTTTTTTTTTTGAGTAGCTTTTTCTTGGGAGCACTTCTTGCAGTTAGGCAAGGTCCTTTGTGACCCACAGAATGCTGATGTATTGAGATCTGCATACTCTGCAGCCAGCTGCATGAGGCACTAACAGGGCTCGTGCACCCACCCTCTTCAGACAAAATGAAAGTTCTTCTGTGTACTATTATTTTTTTTTAAGATTTTATTTTATTAGGGAATTGGGGGAGGGGAACAGACAAGTTGCTGTCCTTTTGTTCTTCAGGCTGGTTGTGGAGGATGTCGCTTCACTGGCCCATGTTGGTATTATCATTGTGCTCTTCCAGGGTGAGGCAATCGGTCACCGGCCACTGGATGACCGCTCACAGCAGCTCATGCTAGCTGCCAGCCGCTCACACTGGCTGCCAGCCACTGATGGTAGCTCATGGCAGCCCACTGCAGCCCTGCTGCAGCCTACGCCGTTGCCGGCAACTCATGGTAGCTCAGCTCCAGGTCGAGCTGTTGTTCACCATCTTAGCTGTAGAGGGCGCAGCATCACTGACCCTCATGTGAGATCCTAACTGGGGCTCTACTACTCAGAGCCGGCACTCCCAAGCCAACTCTTAACCAACGCACCACACAGCCGGCCCCTTCTGTGTACTATTAATATATAGGAGACACAGGTTAACCAGAATAATACCAATGTTTGCTTTAACAATTGCCAGGAAAACGTTTGAAGAGGAGGAAGCTTGTTTATGAAACAGAGCGTATTTCCTATAGTTTTGATTTTTTAAAATTGCTTTGACTTTTGTTTGCCTTTCAGGTAGAAGACGACTGGAAATATGCAGCTATGGTTGTGGACAGAGTATTTCTTTGGATATTTATAGCTGTCTGTGTGTTTGGAACTGCAGGGCTATTTCTACAACCACTACTTGGAAACACAGGAAAATATTAAGGATTTTATCTTCTGAAATTTACAGACACTATATTTGTTCTGTGTTTCCTACAGCAAGGAAAGGAATATAAAGCTTCCCATCTAAGTCTCTCATCTACTGAAGCTGATGACTAGATGGAAAAAGAGGACTTTATTTGCACATGAGGAGCCTGAATGCCCTCCTTTGTAGCACGAAGGAGGGTTGTGAGATAGATGTGCTCTAACACTGGAGCCCAGAGCTGGCAGCACCCACAGGATTTTCATGTCTGGACATGTTCAGCTTCCAGGGATGTGATGATCTGTAATACAGCAAACCATGTAATCAACACCAAGCCACATTAAAGATCGGTTTTGTGGTCCCTTCAGTTTATGCTGCTGATTAGTATCATGACACATGCCACACACGAAACTCTGAAACATGGACCTTGCTGACATTTGCAGTGCTTGTGAACTCCTATCGGTTTGCTTTCTTGTGCATGTCTCTGTGATGTAGCTCACACACCAGCATTATTTGATACTTTAATTGGCAAAAAGTAATAGCAGGTAGTCAGAGCCTATCTCAGCAGGCTGTATGCAGTTAACATTCGTCGGGCAAGAACACTGGGTGGTAACCCAGCACTGGGCTAGGCATTGCACAGGTAACAGAAATAGGTTCTGTCCCCAAGCACTTGCAGCTTTTTAGGAAAAGTCATAAACACAAAGATCTCCAGGACCAGGTATCATCTGGGGAATGTGAAGAGCAATCAAAATAGGAGAATGTGATGTGGTGTAGCCAGGCAAACTGACAACCTGTTGCCTTTTCTCGGCAGCAGTTTCCATTGCTCATTGTAGCTGGGACTGAAAATAAAATTATTTCTTCTCTAAGAAATTGTGAACTTGTACCTTTTAGAGCAATTCCTTTTCTGAGAGGTAGCACCCTAGGAATTCTGCTTTATTCCACTCTATTATCTTATGTGTTGTATAAATATTATAACAATTTAAAAGGCGTATTTTGAAGCAGAAAAAAAAATTTGCCCTAAAAAGGAACTCATGCCATTTTTGCCTTTTCCCTTCTAGTCCTCAGTTTTACCTGTTAATTTTGTATTTTTCTGTTTTCTCAAAGCACCATATTAGCAACATTTCTCGAGGAGGTTGCATAGTCTTGAAGTATAATTTTTAAGATTGCATAATCTCCGATGTGTTGATACACCATAACCTCGATTGCCACATGTGAATTCTTCCTTATCTGTCTCATACTGGAGCATAAGGCACTATGTGTACATCAAGCAGAGGTCTTGAATTTGAATTACTTTGTTTTGAAGTATTTTTACTCCCTCTCATATTTGTGTTTGAAGTACCTATATTTTATCTTTCTATCTTGACAGAGGGTTGGTTGTTACACTTGATAGTTTTTTTTTTACTATCAAACCAAATATATATTTAATTTTATTTTTAAAAAGTCTTAATTGTGGTAAAACATTTATTTTAGTGGGGGCAGGGGGATACTAATAGCTCCTGTGGACTATATATTAGTCTTCGAATAAGATCAATCATTGCTGAGTTGAATTGAGACTATAAGTCATGGGTCAAAGTGGAAACATCCAAGGCTTTTTTCTCTCTAACTGCCCCACCAATTTGCGCTTGTTTTGGCTGAGGCAGCACAAAATGTGTAGAGGATAAAAATCTTTGAAAATAGCAGATGCAAAAGTGCAAAGAGGCTGCTCCACGGGTGGGTGGGTCATCACTCAGTTTACGGAGCCAGATCGGAGCGGTGTGCTTATGGAAAGGCTAATTTGCTCCCAAATCCATTTTCATCACACTGGAATGTGGGTTTGGATGCTTGATCTTTCAGCTTTTCAAGATAATCTGAAAATCCAGCTTTTCGTATAAAAGAGTTTTACAATGTGACAGATGGCAAGATTTCATTCTTCCTTAAGGCTGAGTAATAATTAATTGTATATATGTACCACCTCTTCTTTATCCATTCATCCATTGATGGACACCCAGGTTGCTTCCATATCTTCGCTGTTGTAAATAATGTTGCAATGCACTGATGGATGCATATGTCCCCTCAATGTAGTGTTTTGGGTTTCCTTGGCTGAATACCCAGAAGTGGGATTACCGGGTCCTTCTTTGTCTCTTGTTATAAGGGAGTGCTTCTTTTTTTTTTTTTTGCACCCTCCCCCCACGAGGGTGTTTCTTATGTGTAGTGAGGGGAAAGGGCAGTGAGAACAGGGGTGCAACATCTGAGCATAACCTGTTGCTCATCCCCCCTTTTGACTTTAGAACTATCATCTAAACCCTTCAGCAGTACCAGCCACTCTCAACTGGAGATGCTATTGCTCCCTTTTATCACACGTGCATGTAGTTGGTGTTTGGAAATGTCTAAAAGAGCATTTTTGGTTTTCGCAATGACTGGGGATGTTATTGTCACATATGGCCTAGGGGTAAGGATGCTAAGCATCCTGCAATGTATGGAACAGAACAGTGTAGAATTTTCCTTATTAAAATGCTCATAAGGCTCCCTACAAATAATTGGAGCCCTCCTGAGGGTACTAGTTTGGAGCACAGGCACATGCTTAGCAGGCTTGTTGAGGGGCAGCCACACACCCTCACTGGTACTTCTCAGTGGCAGGAACATCCACACTGCAGGGGAAGCAGTAAGGCTGAACCTTTGTCACTCTCTTTTTCCCTGAGAGTAGAATTTTACAGATGAAGAGGACCTTCATCTATAAATAGGGACAATGATAATGCCTTCTTCATAGGGCTGTTTAGAAGGCTGCCTGGGTTAATCTTCACAATTTATAATTTTTCTATGCTTCCCCTTTGGATACTGTATTCTTCTGGCTTAGTTGGATCTCCCCTTGTTACCCAAAGTTGGGACCATCTCTGAGCATTCAGATGCCATGTCGAATTCTACAACAGACCAGGCTGCCCTGTTCTGACCGTGGTTACTCTCTGCCTGGAGGTTTCACAATGTACATCTGTGGATATATTACTGCCCTTGGCTAGTTTTCCCAAACCTAAGATTGTCCATGAACCAAATAAATCATGTCACTTTTATTTTTACTATCATTTTATTGACATACTGAACAGAAAGTCTTAGTACAAAGAAGGAATCTATGTCAGGTTAAACATAAATGGCAGTTATCATGGCTGTTTATTAAACAAACTCATTTTAATACATAATAATAGATGCTTCCAAGAAAGAATTATGACACAACCAAAAGGTCCATCCCAGCACAAAAATATTATTCTTTGTAAATTACAGTGTTCTAATGTAGCTGGTTACAGACCAACTTTAAAGGGGTCAAGGTCATATGTAAGAGTCTTTATAACTGCTGTGTGCTATGGCCACAGGTTATACCACTAAATTTACCACTGGACAGGTGAAGAGACAAGGCTGTCATCATCTTAACCTAGGGGTTAGTCTTAACACTAATGATGAAATAGCCAGATAGTATATATCTCCTTATTCAGTATAATACAAACTATGCATCATCATCTATAATGTACTTTGTGAAAAATATTGAACTAGAATTATGGTTGTAACCTCCAATTTACAGGAAATACAAGCGACAGAGAAACAAGTTAAATGACACCAGACGTGAGCAACCAGATAAATCCAATACATGAGATATTCTTGGGGAAAACTGATCTAGTCTTTTCAACAAATCAGTGACAAGAAAGAAATTAAAATAGATTTAAGTGGCATAACACTATGGGCTGAATCTTATTTTAGACAAACAAGCTATAAATTTAGGCTGTTCTTGAGATAGGGAGACTTGAATATGGAATTATTAATTTTTCTAAGTATAACAATAACATTTTAGAAAAGTTTTAATGTAAGAAAATATTTCTTTAAGGTGCATACTGAAAACCACACACACATACACACACAGCTGAAAATATTAAGAAGGGCTAAGCAAGGGTGCAAATTTGTCTTCGTTTTAGACAAATAACCCAATTCAAACTTTCTGGTACTGGTTTAATTAATCAGCAAATAATAAATAAACCTTGACCATGTACACAGCTCTATTAGATGCTGTTGGGAATATAATGAAAGATATGGCATGATATAGCTAAGGAAATAAAATTCACTTAATAAAATAATAGAGAGCAATTACATTCTAAACGCTATAGCAGAGACTGAAAACAGCACAGGCTTTCAGAGACAGGGAACTCAGCGGGAGCTGTGTGTTCTGTGAAGGCTTCATGAGGAGATGGGGTGTGAGCAGAGATCTGAAGGATGAGAAGAATTTAGGACAGCTCTCTGTGTGCCTGAGCATGTGTATGTGCCTGCATGTGTGTGCCTGTTCCTGTGTGATTGTTCACGCATGTGAACACATGCTCACTCATGTGATGGAGAGTTGTATGGGTCTTGCAAGTCGACTTGTTGGCATTAGCTGGCAAGTTTTGCCCACAAAAGATTTTTCTTGCTATACATTTGAAATTAAAATTTTTTTGCTTTAAAGTTATCTTTTGTAGTTATTTCATTAAGGTTATTGTGATATATAAATATTTATCCTTTTCCATATTTGAAACTGTTATCATCTCCCAACTTACCTGCAAGGAGGCTTAAGCTGCATGTACACATATAAATGTTTGACCTTTGCTGTATTTGTGCCTGGTCAGAAAGAGGCTTGCTGTGGAAAGTGTTTCATGTGGCATTTCTCAAAATTTAAAACTGAATTTTAATTGAAATGCATTTTTCTAAGATTAGTATTGTCATTTATCTAGCAAACTAAGGATTTAAATAAAGTGAAGTAATGAGTTAAAGTCAATAGTGTTCGCAATAAAAAGAAGAATAGTGATTTGCTCTTTGATTTCACAATCCCATCAGGGATTTACGGCATTGAACCCTTGATTGCATCACAATGTATTCCTGCAAATCCTGTCCTAAAGTAGTGATTAAGCAGATTACAAAGGAACAAAGTTATAATTAGAAGCTGTGTGGTTTAAAAATTGTGAAAACTCAAGTATAAATCTCCAAAGTATAGAATTTTAGAACAAGAGAGAGCTTCAAAGGTCATGAGTCATAACCTCTTATTATTGACCAGAGAAGACAAATGACTCACCTAAGGCCCCACAGCTCACACCTAGGTAATGGCTGGTCTAGAATGCACAAGTCCCAGTGCCCTGGTTTCCACTTTACCATGTTGCCTCCTTTTTGAAAATCCAGTGAAATGTGCAGAAAAGTAATGGATATGTGGATCATACAAGGAGCCCCAATATTTTATAATGTGTGTACATAACACAAAAAAATACAGTTCTCTGGTACAAAATTTGGTATCTATTAAAAACAAATATATCGGTTATATTAAATATTACTTAAACATTTAAAATATATAAACGTGATTTGTTTTTTGGAATTTAGAATTGCTAT